TTTTAACGATTGGAAATTTTTGCGTTGAAGTTCTTTCCATACTACATGTTGGCTTGTGGATGGTCTACTGCCTTAGAGTCCGACTGTGACAACGGTTCTCAGTAGGCAAGGGTGTCATTGTTCTTCAGAGGATTCTTATTTGGACACTTGCGAAAGGTGTTTGAACATAAATATGGAGATGAGATGCATATTTTTGTGAGACGAATGTGAAAGCAAATTCGAATCGGATCGGAAGATACGGACAAAGCGTAGTTTCATAATTGGTACCGGCTTCTGACTTTTTCCACTTTTTTCTGGTTTTCCAGTCACTGTTCCTAGGTACAGCCTTGAGCCTTGTCACTGTTAATTTCCTAAAGTTGAGATTTGTTCGAAGCAGTATTAACTTTACCATGAAAACTGATCCGGACACGGTGTAGTAGATACCTTGGGCGGTATTAACCTTGCCTCGACTTTTCCATTCTGATAGCGAGCGGGCGCTGCAGTTGTACTCAGACTGGTCAATTATCCATGGGATATTGAAATAAAATACGCTCATTACACAAATATTGATGAGTTCAAAGAGATCTTGCTGAGCCGTAAAGCTTGCGTGATTGTGGCCAACTGAACCCGAGATTCTAAACAAGTAGACAATAATAAGTTTACAGATGAGAGTTTCGCTCGAAATCGGAAATTCGAAAGCCACTGAAGGGTCTAGGCGACGGTACGACACGAAACATGAAATATATTATGTCGGATAGATAACTTTGAAAAACTAGAAAAGCAGGTCGCTTCATAGAGAAAAAACCATTCCAGCTCAATATTGATGCCTATACACAATAAAGTGCCAACACTTGCGATTCGAATCCATAGAGAACTTTTTCGACGAGCTGTCAAGGCTGTAGCATTAGAACACTACTATATGGGTTCCACTGATTAGTTTAACACTCACTAGAAAAATGGGGCCAGTGGGTTGACAAGAGCAAGTGAGCATAGCTCTCAAACAGTAAGCTCGAGACAATAAGAACGCTTAAAAGAATTGCTATTTCACCATGTTTGAAAACAGCTGCACGTCATTGTCTGGAAAATTCTTTGTACTGGATCATTTCAAGTGGTAAACAGGTCTTTGAGATTATTTTGGGCAGGTGATCACTGGGAACACAATAAGTTCCGGAAAGAATCAGAAATCAGAATAATCTAGAATTCTGGCAACTAGCACTCTAATTCACAGTNCGAGACAATAAGAACGCTTAAAAGAATTGCTATTTCACCATGTTTGAAAACAGCTGCACGTCATTGTCTGGAAAGTTCTTTGTACTGGATTATTTCAAGTGGTAAACAGGTTTTGAGATAATTTTGGCAGGTGATCAATGGGAACACAATAAGTTCCGGAAAGAATCAGAAATCAGAATAATCTAGAATTCTGGCAACTAGCACTCTAATTCACAGTAGCGAACGCCCTTGACTCTTGATTACTATCATCTTGAAGTCTCCGTCCTACATCAACAACATTTCGCCGCTAACTTTGGAAACAGCCCATTATAGTTTCGTGAACATCAACTCTACTGTCTAGGTAAAGGGCTGGCACCAAGGATCACATGCTTCTGTAAATAATCTTCAACGTCCTGCGCTCCAAAGATTCTATAGTCACGAATTCTGAGTGACCTTTACCACTAATGGGAATGACAAACCACTACCACCACGAAATGAATCACATTAAAGGCACAGTTCACGATATAAAAGGTTTCTAAGTTATACCCTTAGGAGAACCCAGTAGCCCCTAAGGGCAACAGGAAGAAGGCTGTCGAGTCCCAAACTCAACAGCGAGGGCACAGTGGGAGCCCCATTGCCGGATCGTTCAGACTTCCCGCCCCTCGATTGATTTTCGAGGCGATACAGATTCCACTATTCGTTCTAGGACCCACACTCAGCTATTTTCGAGAGATGAGGTGATGTTTCTCTTCCATTTTTTATCCTCTGTTATTCTTTCTGCTGCTGTGATCCCTGTTCTAATTTTCTATCCCAAAAGGCTAAAAAATGTGGCAATTTCTGCTGTTACTAGGTGTTTTTTGTTAACTTAGGCTTATGAGGGAATGAATTTTCACTTACCGTAGCCAGTTATCCGCAACAAGACCCACACGTACGCAATGACACACATTATATACCCACCCTTTTCAGAACTCTGCAACTTTATTGAACGGTATTGAAATTAAGGTCGTGTTCAAATGCGTATTTTTTTTGACCATTGACTTAGGTGCAGGTGGTGTAGAAGCAAGGGTTCGAATCGCTTATCGATATCCTCCGCCTAGATCAACCAAGCCTTCCATCCTTTCGGGGTCGGTTAATTGCCACCTGACTCGTACGGGAGGATGAAAGCGCTGACTCGTAACCGGCTGGTCATTGTATAGGTCGCATACGCATTCAATACGCCACTGCGATTCTGAATGGAAGTCGAATGCGTGAGTGCATCCTTCGACTGCCGTTTAACGACCCGTGGCTTTATCCTTTATCCTTTATTGAATTCACGAGGGCCATTGCGACTATACATGGTTTGTTCCCATCCTCCCGGATGAATCTGATGCCAAGTAAGAAACTCTGAAGAGGTTGAAGGCGTTGTTCAGGGGTTCGATACCGATCATCCCATGTGGTAATGCGTCACTTAGGACCAAATCATCTCCATCATTACATTTGCATATCTCTGTTGTTATAACATAGTCCCAATCTCTCCACCATATCGCGCAAATCGGGCGAGCATCCCAAGCGGTTGCAAGTGCCATCAGTTCGTTATGAGGGCCATTGAAAAAGCTCTCTTTTACATTGCCTGAAGTTGTTGTTTCTTGAAATATTTAATGCGTCTGCCTCAAGTTGTTTAACGAAATCCGTCGAGTGTCATAGTAATTACAATACGGGTGTGTGCGGGTAGTAACAAACCATGAATGTTTGAAGGTCCCACTCATGCAGGCGAATTTCGTTCAGTTTTAACCTTCCTTACGCTGTTTCCCTTGCGCTAGCATTGTAATTAAACAGAAAACAAAGTCAGACAAAGATGGAAGGGGAGTTTATATTAAGCAACATCTTCAATAAAATTAATAACAACTTCAAAAAAAAAAGATATGTACATGAGAACAAATGAATTTGTGCGCTTGCTGATGTTCTTCAATTATCGACCACCTCGTCACCCGGGATCCAGAAGCACTGAAATACGAGGTAATATACTGTATGGCAGAAGGTGCAGAAGGTTTAAATCGACACAACACAGCAAAAACAGGCAGTCAACCCCAGAATCCACCTCCGTGATATTGGTAATACTGTGTGACCGAAGAATATGCACTACGCATGCGAAAAATGTTCTTAAACTGCAGCACCTTCGCAATATCAACTAAATAGACATACTGTGAAGGCTATTAGTTCTATACTACCTCAGCTTTAATGGACAACAAATCGTTCTAAAAAATTGACAAACGGTACATACCAGTTTCGTACATGCCGAAGCCACCATGAAATGTTTAGGATTCCATGATACAATTCTTAAATGAGCGTCATGCTCTGTCTCGAATGTAGCCACTCTCTTTCCTAAAATGAAAAGATGAAATGCTATGATAAATAAGAAGTTTCAGCGACAACAACGAGCGCACCTGTCTCTGTGCACCAAGCATGAATACAACGATCTGAAGAACCACAAAAAACAAATTGTGAATCAGGTGAGAATGATGCTTCCAACGCCTCTTGCTAAAAAAGAACACTGTAGAAATAACTACATCTGAATAAGTATGTAAGGACTTCATCAAGGTCAAGATAGCTCCGATTTTTCTGTGCTCAAATTTTTTTGCAGGAAAATGAATACTATAAATTCCTCTTATCATTAAATTTACTAGCAAACCACTTGAAGAAATAGGAATGTCAAATAACTACGTGGTCGATTTATGAAAAACCTCTAACCTGATCATTTCGATGTCCTTCGAACGTTACTTTCAAATTTCCAGTGAATGCATCGATCAACCTGGAAGGAGACGATATAAGAGACTACTAACTATAAAAGCCTTGCAAAGCATCTAAAAATTTGTAACCTCGATCAGATTGGGATATTAGCCAATTTGTTTGGGTCATAAAGATCGGATGCTCAACAATGATGCAAACAATTTGAAAACGACAACGTAGAGGAAGAACATGATGCAACATTCGAAACACTATGTAAATAGTAATGGGTATGGCGTAGCAAACGAAGTTAGCAAATACCTTATAAGGGCTCCATTTGTATTAATCATAATGTACTTTCCGCACGGAGAGAAAGTCATGCCAGTCCACTCACACGAGCGCTCAGCTTCGAGTTTGAATGTCGTAAACGGGCCCTGTCAAAACATAAGAATAATTTCATCGTATGAGAACATGATAGTCCATGGAACAAACCTTATCGAACGAGCGCAGGTCATACAGTTTCACTTGCTCATTGTTTATACCCGCGGCAAATATCAGCCCTTCAGGATCGAACGCGGCAATTGCTTTCCCGTTCACTTGCATTAGCCCCTATAAAAAATGNGGAACTAAAAAGATGAACAACGCACTTGACAATTTTGGGATCTCAAGTCCCACAGCCTGATTGTTTTGTCCAAAGAGCCGGACAGAAATGTATCATCAATAGGATTCATACTCAAACACATGACCCTGAAGAGGTTCGTTCTCAAAAAAAAATTCGACTCCATAGCGCCTTTCAACACAAATCACCCGGTAAACAGAAAATTAGGTATTGTCAGAAACATCTTCAAAACTAACTTCTTCGTATGGCCGGGAAAATATCTTATATACTTGTTGTCATGAAGAGATAGGTAGCGGATTGTATCTAAAAGTTATTGATATTTTGCGTTATCTTGTAAAAATGAGAAATTATGAAAAATACAAGGAATTCAGCTATCCAAGCACTCTTTCTATGAAAAACGAGAAAATTCACGCTCTGATGAATCAAATACTACTTTTTAAGTACCCTTACAGATATCCGATAGCAAGCACTAAGCTTAAAAAGCATGAATACCCAAAGCACTTACCATCAACCTTTGTCGAGCAATGAATTGCATTACTGGTATTGTGGGAGAATTTGATGAGATCAACACCGTATTTCTTACTATTTACCTGCAATGAAAGCAGTAAACTCTTCATTGGAACGGTGTCTCAAAACGCAACCATGAAATCGAGTCAATGCTTAAAAAAAGAGCGCAAAAAAAAAATCCCACAAAATTTTTGAGATGGAACACTCTAGGACGAAAAAACAAACACCCAAGCAGTGAAATACAAAACCAAATCGATATTTTTGCCGAATACAACCTATAAGAGATTTATCCGCCGTAACTTCTTGGGGTTACGCCCGCCGAGGTGCCCGCCTTGCAAAAAATTGTAGAGATTGAAATTGTAGAGGGTTAAAGCATCAATAGTTGTATGAGGTTTTATAGGTGCTGTTGTTTGTTTATTTCTCACGTCTACCTTATGTAGCGTATAAACGAATAAACAAACAAATATTTACACAGGGTTCATACAACAATATAACATCTTTCAATTTCTACTCATCTATTACAATTGAAATAGAATTCAGGGAAGCTGAAAACGCGAATCCGGTCCAGTTGCCATTTTTGAAAGCTCTCTGCTCCCTGAATCCAGAGTAACCACAGGGTTTACAAAGCTAAGTGATGCAGTTCCGCCTTTATAACAGCACTACAAGTCCCGTGAAATGCACTCTACAAGTGATATTCGATTGAATCCCGATCTCGCAGAAATGGTTGAGTTTACTTCAATAAAAGGGCCTCACTTCTTGCCATTTTCAAAAAAAAAANGGAATGCAGTATGATGAGGTTGGTTCCACAGCACCCATATCTTCTTTCACAAACCCTCCCTTTTTTGCTTTTCCGCTGTTTTGGATTTGACACAACTTATAGTGAACTAAGTCTATGCATTGNAAAAAAAAAATAAATGAAGGAGCAACTTACATTTCGGGTTCTTGTTCCTGTTTGCATACTGTATATGAAAATTGAATCATCGTCGCTAGACGTTATCATGGTCAAACCATCAGAGGAATAATCTACACTGTTTATCTGAAAGAATGAAATATAGGCCATTCAGCAGGAGTGAAATACTCATTCATTTCAGATAATGGCATTGAAGAGCAGAAAAAGTGACTCCAACCCCATGGCCACTACGCGATCCAGTGCTACGTTCAAAAGTGGATTGCGAGGACTTAGTCATGAGCGCCCTTTACCATTACCCTTTGAGCGCTATGTTCAAACGTTACCCTTAAGTGCATAATAATTCTACGTTACCAACGATCAAAAATTAGCGCTAAGCTAAAGATGTAAGAAGGTTTACGAGCCTGACGGATCCAAGTCCAAGAGTTTTAAATGATGTATGCTACTAGCAACATGTTTGGTAGGTGTTTGTTCAAAGTCAACCTCGAGTTGAGCTGTTACACGAGGTATAGTTCGTTCGACTGTATACCAATTACACCGACTATTACAACCTCAGAAGGCTCATGGTTACTCATTTCGCTATGCTCATGGCTCAAAAATGATTTTCTGTTCCTCAACAACACACTCAGAGCTGTATTAAAAACAACAGTTTCAAACATTACTGCTAACATATCCTGTCTTGGCTAAATAAATTGTAGTTGAAAATCACTAATAAAATCACGTACCCTCATCGAGTTCTCGCTGAATTTCTTTGCACATACGAAATGCTGCACCGTCCCAGGTGTGAGCTTCATCCTGATTCAGAGGTTTCTTCAACAATTTTATTAGCAACCACGCTTCTGACTCTGCTAGCACACCAGATGAAGGGGCGGAGCTCACTTAGATGCGCAGGGTCCCCAAGTGAAACGACAGCGTCGACATATTTCTGGCGCTGGGCCAACCTTTGCACAGTTTGGTTAAACGTTTCATAAAAATTCTTTCGAGATGTTAATTTCATAATTTTATTCTCTATGTATAACGGGATTATAGTGTATCAAAGGTGTTCTCCCTGTTATGCGGTTGTTAGAGACGAAATAAATGTGAGCAATGTGACAAATGTTCAATTACGTAGAGATTTTACCATTTAAGAATCATACGAGCACTACTTAATGCTACTCTGATTTACTTTTGAGCTCAATTTACGAAAGCTGAAATAACAGTCTAGTAAACGAAAACAAAGGGTACTCCTATTTGGCAGCTTGGATACGGTCATGACGGTGATTCATTCAACATTTTCCGGTCCCATTTCGGAAACAGATTTTCTCTTCAATTCACATGGCTTACCCCTCCCTTCAGAGTATTTGAGCTAGCTTTTTTCTGAAATATGCTCTCCAGTATTTTCCATTACAAATTAATGACGTGTGAAACAGCGCCGCTATTTTTCCGAAGTGCGCACTATCACACACGCATGGTCACGGGTTCTAATCCAGATCGATATTCGTCTTAGTCAACCAATCCTCCCATTTTTTCGGGGTCGGTTGAATGGAACCTAATTCGTCTGGAATGTTAACTTCCACAACGGCAAGTCATTGTATTGACAAATGCGCATTCAGTACTCCTCTTTGATTCTGAGTTGGAGTCGGATGCGTGGCGCGCGTCACTGAGATGGGCTTGATTAACGCCAAAAACTGTTCTTCTCAAAACCTAGAAAAAACTAAACTAAAAGCTAGCATCTGATTCTATGATTATAAAGCAGGGTTCATTTCAGTTTTCATGACCCGTTACCGTTAGAATAAAAATAAACAAGTCTTTGAGAGCTGACCAATCCGACCCGAGGGATACGCCGCGCATTCGACTTCCATTCAGAATTATAGCGGTGTGTAATGTGGCCTTTACGATGACCTGCGCTGGCCAGCCGATGTACAACACATTGCTAATATCCTCCCAGGCGAGGATGGAAGGCTTGGTTGGCCTAGACGGATATCGATGAGGGATTCGAACACATGATCAAGTGCGTGTAGTGGTGCGCCACTTACCACTGCACTACATCCACTCCTTAGAATGAAAAGTAAAAACAGCCCCAAAAGCGACAGCGGGGGATCAACGATAGCTCGGAGAAGGGAATATTGTGGTTAGTAGGATTGTGTGGGTTTCAGGTGCTCAGGTTTTTTGTGACAGCCTAGGTCGGATGTCAGGAGCGGTTGTTTGAAAAAAGCCGGGTGTGATTCAGTGTCAGATCGACAGGCATAGTAGGCTGATCATGTGCCCCAATGCACTCTCTTATCGTTTTCTTCTTGGTTGAGAGCCACTACTGCAATTCCTTACGTTCTTACAGACTATTTATTCTCTTATGCTCTTATCCCATTCTATTTCAAAATACGTTTTGGTTACCAATTTCTGGTTACTGGAATTTTGAATAATCTGTATTTTCCGTGTAGATATGAGCGGTCAGGGTCCCGTCCAGCAGCAGTATTCGAGTAGTGTGGGCGTCGATGAGAACGGAGATGTGGTCTATCATCGCGAAGGTGGTGTGCGAGTGTTTGGACAAGATTCGCATATTATCAGAATGGATGATGGCCGAATAGTTGAAATGGTTGGACACGGACAGGAGCAGGGAATGCAGTATGATGAGGTTGGTTCCACAGCACCCATCAAACCCTCCCTTTTTTGCTTTTCCGCTGTTTTTTATTTGACACAACTTATAGTGAACTAAGTCTATGCATTGAAATTTGATTTATAAAGGTGATCTTCGAATGGAACCAAGGTTAAATCTAAAATCCAGTCAGAGGGTTGTTTTTGAATCATTGGAGAAAAGTTTCATTTACACTATGCTTACTGAACGTGTAGTGTGAACACTGGACGCTTTCATAGTCCGCGATCCGACCCGCGAGCGCGCCGACGGGGGCGGCGCTTGCCCCTTGTTTATGAATGAATCTTGGCCGATACCCCGGCCGAGAAGTCCCCCGACCGGCGCGCTCGCGGGCCGGATCGCGTACTATGAAAGCAGCCAGTCGCGTAGGGAGAGCACGCTGCACAGAGTCGGATCTAAAGGATGTAGAAATATGGTAAGATATTGGATTCTACTATCTATTCATTCATTTGTTTATAACGTGGCCGTAAGGAACATGGAACTGAATTGGATATTGTTTGATGTTCTGATCAGAAATTTTATGTTCAATTTCAATCGGGGCATTATTTAAAGGGTTTGATGGCACATCCTATCACCAGATTTTTGGAAACTTTGCGGATTTTTGCAAACTTTATCTGTTTTTCTTGTCATCAATACAACCTGCATGAATAACAAATTCTTATTATTGGCAATTATATCTTTCTAAAATTGTGAAGTATTTGTCGGTGCCTAATACTGATAAAGTTTCCGACGTCGTGTAAGTCCGTAAGTTTTTGGCGAAGTTATTTTTGATCTTTTTTCATCAGTGTATGCTGCAAATGGATGTCAGTTTCGTGATTGAAACTCTGATTCAGCCCTATGGTTTCAGCAAAGCTTTGGTTCAAACTAGATTCTATCTGACCATCTTAACGGTACTTGCACGATATTTTTGAGAATAATTTATTCATTGATGTTTGCAGCCACCAGATGCGCAAGCTCGAGAAGATCAAGCGAAGAAAATGGTTCTTGGACCACCAGTGAAATGGAAGAAAGTGGTGAATTCTTCCGGACCCTCTCCAAGGTAATTTCTTCGTAGTTTTAAAGTCCTTCGCTCGTTGCCCAAAAAGTTGTAATACTCAACTTAGTTTTTATTTAATGGTTATCACTTGTTGTGATCTTCGTTCCGTAACATTCCTTAAAACGGCATTATCTTGATGTGAAGTTCTCCGAATTTGTCCAATCGAAGACTACTGTTTATTGCACTGCTCTTCCTCTGTCATTCAGTTTCTTTAGGCCTCGACACGGGCATCGTGCTGTTGCCATCAAAGATCTGATGATCGTTTTTGGTGGAGGGAACGAAGGAATTGTTGATGAACTCCATGTTTTTAATACCAGTAAGCTGGATGGAAAAGTATGCATATTGTATTTATTTTCCTAGTCCATTATTTTTCAGCGACAAAGCAATGGTTTGTTCCTTCTGTAAGAGGCGAGGTTCCAAGTGGATGTGCAGCATACGGAATTGTTTGCAATGGTACGCATATCTTCACATTTGGAGGGATGGTAGAATTTGGAAGGTACTTCGTCATCATTATTTTGTGTATTGTGTTTTTTCTACTCATTCAGTTTAAGATATACGAATGACCTATATGAGTTGCAAGCAGCGCGATGGGAATGGCGGAAGCTGCGTCCACGTCCTCCTCGTACTGGAGGTTCGGGTCCTTGCCCCCGGCTCGGCCATTCATTTTCCCTTGCAAGCAATCAGGTTGCCTATTGCTCTACTTTTCAATTTGGTTTCTGCTTGGATTTTATAATTTTATGTTGATTTTACTCAGGTCTGCTACGTGTTTGGGGGTCTTGCTAATGATTCGCCTGATCCTAAACTTAATTCGTCGACGTATCTTGATGACTTCTTTTCAATAGACATTCGCGGACCGGTCGGATCATTACAGTGGGAACAGCCAGTGGTAAGTTCAAACCGTCGCGTTAAGTTTCTCGTTTCCGCTTAAAGAATCCATACTTCTCGCTTTGTAGACATACGGTATGCGCCCTTCAGCGAGAGAATCACATACAGCCGTTGTACTTGAAACGGACTCCCGTCGCCAACTAATTATATACGGCGGAATGAACGGATCGCGATTGAACGATGTTTGGATATTGGACATCGATTCTATGACTTGGGACAGTCCTGTGGTGGGTACTTTCAGAGTCCGATGTTCACTAATCCTCCTTGATGTTTAGTTCTGTGATACCCCGTTTCCGTGATCGTTCTAGTTGTCATTCTCATAATATCTGTGATCTTCACCACTACGATCATGGCTTTTCCAAGGGCCATTATAAATTTTTCACGTAGTGTCGTTTCGCTTCTCATTTCCCATTCCGCTAGACTCACTGGAGGATGGGTTTCACACGGGTTTCCTACGAGGATTTGACCTCTTCCTATAATAGTGCCTATAAAACTTTCATAGGCAGAGGTCACATCTACGTGAACTGCAGTTTTGGCCAAGAGGGTTTTTGATCAATGGAACTAGAACTAGTTTAATTTTCATGCTAGCACTGACTTAGTTTAGAATTTTTGCTTCTTTTAAATAGTTCACTTTAAACCGAATTTTCCAGATTGGTGGTATACCTCCAATGCCACGATCTCTACATACAGCTAATTTAATAGGTCAAAGGATGTATATTTTCGGCGGTTGGGTAAGTATACTCTCACTTCCTTGCCCATTTAATACTACTGCTGTATTTAGGTTCCAATGCACGACGATAACAATGAAGGTGAAGTAAAGGAGTGGAAGTGTACCAATGACCTATCGTGCCTTAATCTTGAGACTATGGTTTGGGAAACTTCCTCACACGTATTCGACGGTGCGTTGTGAGCGATTGTAGTTGCTGAAATGAATTGTTGTATAAGCAGTCAGTTTCCAGAGAACATGCCAAGAGCTAGAGCTGGTCACTGCTCGGCTGTAATCAATGATCGAATTTATATATGGTCGGGAAGGGATGGATACCGAAAAGCATGGAATAACCAGGTCTCAATTGATATTCCATGTAGAAACTCAGTCATAGTATTCAATAAATTAGCCTGTTGTACATGGGCTTTAAGTCTTAAGGACGGAGTGCCTCTCATGCAGCGTAGGTAGGAATCAAAAAAAAAAAAAAAAACGCGCAGCTTAGGCACCACTAGTATAGATTCTGAACCGTTTATAAAACACCAATTTTGTGTCCTACTTTGTTTACAAGATGACCCGGCCTATTTTGCAGCAAGGGTTTCGGTGATCCCTTTGACAAATTTTCGGGACGGAAACCAGGATTGCCTGTTCAGCCTCCCATTATATCCTTACTCGTAATGGACGGGCACGTTTGAGCAGTATCATCCTGTTCGTCCATGAAGGGCAAACGCTCGTAAACCACCGGTCAAAAAAAAAAACTAGCTTTTTGAGCCGCAATCTATAACTTTGATTTGTGTTCGAACTGCACGTTGTTTCGAGCCCTTAATAAACTGTTTGACTAGGAACCGCCCTTTGTTTCCAACTTCTCTCTTGCGTTAACCTAGGCATTGTTGTTGAAATCCTTCTGCCGTTCGAGATTTTTAGGTGGAACACTTTATTAAGTTAGCGGCCTAGCGTTTAAATGTTGGTGTTAACTTAATAACCCACCTAAAGACCTTGAACGCCAGAAGTGTTTCAACAACGTGAACCGCCCTTTGTTCGCACACTTTCATCGTTCATTTGCTTTTTTGATTTTCAGTAAATTTTTCAATAGTATTTTAGGTCTGCTGTAAAGATATGTGGTATTTGGAAACGTCTGTCCCAGGTACGCCATCTCGCGTTCAGTTGGTTCGAGCTAGTGTTGCGGGACTTGAGGTAGGTTGATTTTCTTTTGGCAACTTTTCTGGATCTCTGTTTAGTGTTCAGCGTCTTTGAAAGAAAGTTTCATTAAGCTTCTTTTTTGATCGTTTGAGATTTGAAAATGTTCCTTCTTTTACCAGTCGATCTATTTCGTACTATTAGTATGTGCCTCGATATGGAGGTCTCTCTCCATGAGCGGTTGGACATTTTGTGGATTCCTGGTTTTTTTTTAGGTTTCATGGAGCGCTCTTCCGACTGCTGAAGCATATCTTCTTCAGCTGCATAAATACGATTCAAATCTCCCCACTCACAAAATTTTGGACGATGACGGTACGCTCAGTTGTTATAAACTCTCGCTTGAACTTCTTCAACATCTTTTTCAGCTACAAGACAATATAGTCCACTAAACAAAACGTCATCGTTGCAGTCGCAAAAGATGATGCTGCAGAGAGGGACACCAACTGGTGTTATGAAGGTAAAAGCAGTTCTTCCCATAAGGAAATGTGGTTCTAAGAGCTACTCTGACCACCGCAGCCACTTTTTCTCTTCCGATGGTAACTGCGTAATTTCTAGCTCGCAAGGATTGTGTCAAGCTATAGCAGTGGGTTCGACCTTATAAATCACCTTGCCGTTCGGATGCCCATTTGTAGGGTAGTTGAAATGGGAGCAGAGTTCCAAATTTTGGCCTAGTGTGGCGTTGATACGTATTGATCACCTATCTATTGGTCGTGATGAAAATAGTTTCGCGGTAATCCTGCTGCAAAGTAATTTTCATTCTGATGGACAGACTTTGATTTTAGGTTGTGCGTGGTGCCGGGCCTGGACAACAAATTGTACGAGTTGTGAGGCAAGTGCCAGGAGTTCCCGGAGCCGCGGTTAACACGGTAAAACCAGGAACAGAGGCAAAAACGATTTTCTTCTCGAAAGGAGGCACTCAGCAGAAGTAAGTTGCACTCAGGTATCCTACCCTTACTGTTCTGTATTTTGAATGCATCCAAGTCCTTCGCCTATAGGGTAATGTACGTGCAAGGTGGTGTTCCTGTTGGTACTTCTGCTGTTGTGTTGGCAAGAGGATCAACCACAATGGGAACCGGTGTCGATCAGTCTGCTCCTATTCCCATAACGCCCCATCAACAACCGAGTATATCGACACAGGGCACAACGTACACAGCTCCCTCGAATTCTCGCCCGCATGACGAGGTGTGTACATATGGAACAGTGCTCATGTTAAACGCAGTATTGCTCGAATGCAAGTAATTATTTTTTTAATTCAGGCTGCTCTACCGCAGAACTTGTTTGATGAATTACCAGCCGACGAGCAATCTCCTCCTTCTCCACCAAAGCAGCGAGTATCCGACAATAGTGGTCCTTCTTTACCGACAGAAGCAGACACTCCTCATCCTTCCCTTGAGAGACCATCTTCACAGGTGTGTTCGTTTACGTCACACTATGCTCAATATTCTCATCATCAGGTTGTTAGGGGTATGGAATACCTAACATCCGAGAACCTGATACCCGGTTGGGCATACATGCCCAAGTGCTCGTGTCCAGTGGCGTTATACCTAGCGCCGCCCGCCTCGCCTCATTATCCACTGCACTTACTGCTAGTTTTGCTACTATTTCCTATTTATTCTTCGTTGGCCAGTTTGGCTCGGGTGGGGTGGGGGAAGGCATTGCTCATGTTCGGTAGGATGCTTTAGGGTTGAATCTTCCCATTGTTACGGTTTACGTGAATCTCTTGTGTTTTGTGTTGTGTTTTATTTGATGTTAGTTGAGTGTTACCTAGTTTTTCCACTCCTGATTTCATTTGTCGACTGGCTATGAACAAAGATAAAGATAAAGATGGATGCTCCAGTAGTTTGGGTAATTTTGACGATTTGTAGGAAGCACCTCAAGATCCTCAATGCTCTTCGGAATCAAGCGCGTCTGCTGAGTCGCAACCTATGGTGCCTACCGACCCAACGCAGGATTCCACGCCGCCGAGTGTAAGCGAAACTCCAGGGAAAAGTGCGAGCGATGTTCAGGAGCCACAACAACCTTCCCAGGTATAAAGCTGGTTCGGATGTGGGGAGTATACAACTGAGCATACTTGTTTTTTTTACTCGAAAACAAATAGGAATAGTGGTTATCAGTCCAGTCTTTGATCAATTACTTATGCATCGCACGGGTAGTTGCACACTGCTCTGCTCAAAAACTCAGCTTATTTTGCTTTGTGTTTTTCATAGGCTCATTCTTACCTCATTCTTTTTTTATAGAACGAGGGATCGTCCATAGTCAACGATCCTACGGTTCAGAATTCATCGCAAGGGCAGCCGCTAAGTAATCATGAACAAATTCAGAACCAGGTATAGCAGATATTTGTATCCTCAGTGATGTCTATTCATTGTGATAATATTACCCAATTGTTAAGATGTCATCGCTTCCGGTAGATCCTCCTCTGCCCACTCCTCAAGCATCGCAACCTTCTCAAGGGGAGAACAGTGGAGAACACTCCTTTGAGCAGCCCACTCCCAGTACGTCGCAGACATCGCAACAAATGGCGACCACCAACGAGCAAAATTTCAATTCATGTACCAAACGTGAACCATCCGAATCTCCTGCTGGAAATCATGTAG